GAAGCCGAGCCGGGCCGGGCCGGGCCGGGCGGGTCGGCGCGGGGTCTTACCTCGGCCGTGCCCCGAGCTGGAGGGAGGGAGGGAGAGTCAGGCAGCGGCAGGAGCACGAGCCGCGCTCCCGGAGCCGCTGGTCACGACACAGCCCCCCTCAGAGCCGCGATGCGGGTGTCCGGTCTGCCCTCCCGCCGTCCCCCTCGCGGGGTGACCCGGGACTGCCCCAGGCCGCGCCGGACTCGCCTGGACTACAAGTCCCAGCGTGCTCCGCGGGCGGCGCGGTGACGTCAGACGCTGCCCTCCCTTTAGGCGACTTGTACCCGGATGTAGGTCCCTTTCCCTCCCCGGAAGGTAAGAATGGCGGAGCTGCGGCGGGCAGGGCTGGGACCGGGCGGGCGTCATCCGCCACCATCTGCCCTCGGGTGGCTGCGCTGGGCTCACGGGCCTGGCCCGGCGCCCTCGGGGAGACGGCGATGAGGCCTGGGGGCCAATATGGGGGTGGAGCGGGAGGTGTAGCCGTCTCCGGAGAGGCCAGGCCGCGGCGGGTTGGGGAGGCCGGGCTGGGCCGTGACCGGCCGGGCCGGAGCCTCCCCGGGAGGCGGACTCGGCTGGGGCCGGAGCTGGAGGTAGCGGTAGCCCGGGGAAGGCCGCTGTGGCCCCGCGGTGTGGCAGGGCCCGGCAGCTCCAGCGGAGCCGGGGGGTGAGTCCCGAGCAGGGAGTGGCTGTAACCACCCACAGGGACAGAGGGGCAACCCCAGCCTCGGCGGGTGTTTGCGTTTTCTTGGGCTTCCTAGTGAGGAGGGCTTGGATGCGTTCGGTGGACTTGGAGCTGTTGGAACTAGCGTGGAGAAGTGTTTTGCGTAAGTGATGGGGGTGCAGCAAACAGAACGGCTTTTGACTGCAGAGTCTGTAAGAGGTGGCTGACAACTGTTAGGATGGCGTAAAGGATCAAGTTCTGGTTGTTTTATTTTGTTTCTGCAACTTAGACGCTCCTCTGCACACCCTGTAATAAGTCATTGTTTCTTTTTTATTTGGAGCCACAGATGGCGGGCGAGAAGGCGGCCAGTGAGAAAAAGCCAGGCGAGAAGGCAGCTGGTGAGAAAAAGCCGGGCAAGAAAAAGATGGCTGAGAAGAAGCCAGCTGAGCAGAAGGCAAGCCAGAAGGAAGTAGGTGAGAAGAAAAAGAAGATTAAGAAGCATCATGCCAGCCGTAACCCTGTCCTGGCCCGGGGTATCGGGAGATATTCCCGGTCAGCCATGTATGCTAGAAAAGCACTGTACAAGCGCAAGTACACTGCTCCAGAAACAAAGGTAGGACCACAACTGCTGCGTTCAAATAATCATGCTTTTCATGGTGACTTGAGTTTGAAATGTCGTGTTCCCCCTTTTCTTTGCCTACAGATAGAAAAGAAAAAGAAAGAAAAGCCACGCGCAACCATTACCAAGCCCGTGGGTGGAGACAAGAATGGAGGCAGCCGTGTGGTTAAAATCCGCAAAATGGTAAGAAAAAGAACTGGGACGCTCACAGTTCAAGGCTGTTATGTGTAACTTTTGACCAGATGATGCGTCTCTTGGCTGGCACAACGTAGCAGCCTCAGCCTGTGCCATGCTTCATGGAACTGTTGGCAGTTATCTCCTTGAGATACGGGCCCAGTGATTGTTGTTCTTGGGGGAGATACCAGTAATTTAGAGAACGATTAGTAGGCAAGAGTGGGTTCTCCTCTGCCATTTGCGTTGCTGTGCTGGATTGGAAGCATGTGGAGAAATACAGAGCTGGTGTCAGCTTTCGCTGTTGCATGATGGTACAGAAAATACTCGGTGTGTTCCTGAAGTGCTGGTTACAGCACAAAAAAAATCTTTCGGAAGGGTCATCTTTAGGGAAATAGTATCTCTTACAAAAGGAAGATTCTAAACTGTTTGTGAAAGCTTTCTGTCCTGTGGAATACAGGGTGGTACAACATTTTTGCTCCTCTTTTTCTACTACCAGCCCAGATACTACCCCACTGAAGATGTTCCTCGCAAGCTTTTGAGTCACGGCAAAAAGCCCTTTTGCCAGCACAAGAGGAGGCTGCGGGCCTCTATTACTCCAGGAACTGTTCTGATCCTTCTGACCGGTCGTCACAGAGGCAAGGTAATGGGGAGCTTCTTCCTCTTGACTCTCACAAGGGCTTTGCAGCATTTCTGTGCTGAAACCATTTTGACTGAGCAGAAGTATCCTGAATTTACCAGCTGATTTCACGGGACATTGATCAGCCACAAGATGCAAATCTGCGCATCTGCTTTTCTGTGAATTCTGTCTAGATGCTTTCTCTCGTCCTGCCTTTAGGGGAAACAGTCTTTAAACTAATTCTTCTATAGAGCTGGAAGAAAACAGGCTAGTCCAGTTGCTTAGACAAAATTAAGGGAGTCTTGCTGCAATGCAGAAGGAAAAGTGTTATATTAAGATGTGTTCTTCGTCTTAATGATGTTTACTAACAGGTCTTAACTGACAGCCTTTATTTTATTGAATTCTTTGGCTTTGATGTCACATTACTTAAAAGAATGCTGTTCAGAGAAGGAAAACTTGACTGCAAAGAATAAAATGCAACTGGGGGATGGCTCTGACCAGGTGATATGTTGTGGTGCTCTTCTGGTTTTTATCTAGTTCCTGCCTTTAACTTGTACAAAGAATTTGGGTGACAGGATGGCTGTCTCACTGTCCTGTAAAATAGACAAAATATAAAAAAACGTACTAATTGGCTCTGCTCAGCCTTGAATGATGAAGCATGGGGAGAGTCTGATCTGTCGTAGATGAGGTAACTGGTAAAGCTGTACTCTGAGAATTGTTGGTAGCTTGGCTTGTGTGGCAGTTACTTGCAAGTTGCGCCTGTGCCGGGATGCTTTGTCAATGCTTATACCAGTAACACAGGCTGCATGTGGGCATGGTCCCCATTGGGTTGCAGTATTTCAGAGTGCTGGGACCTGAGGACTGACGTCACATCTCATCTCTTTTCAGCGTGTCATCTTCTTGAAGCAGCTTGCTACTGGCCTTTTGCTTGTTACAGGTAAAAAACTTATACATGTGTGATGATATTTTTTGTTTGTTTGTTTTGGGGAGGGTTGTGGATTTGGGAGTTTTTAAGTTCAAGTTTGTCTCCGGGGTCAGTAGCGCTACAGATCTGCATGCAGATGGTTTGGTGCATCCTGAGTTCATGTAACTATGTGGAATCACATTTTGCAACTTTCCAGGGCGGAGGAGGGGAGATAATTATGCTTCAATATCTGACTACCTGGAAGAGATCGGGAAGCATTTTTTGGCTTTTTAGAGGCTATGGGGAAGGGCTTGTTGATTGTTCAGATTTTAACTGCAGAAACTCATCATCTCATACATTACAAAAATTCCACTTAAAAGCAGTGGTTGTTGCCAGGAAAGCTAACCTTGTTGTCTCTTCTGTCTTGCATCTGCCTTTAGGACCCTTGGTTATCAATCGTGTCCCTCTGCGTAGGGCCCATCAGAAATTTGTTATTGCTACATCTACAAAGGTTGACATCTCTGGAGTGAAAATTCCCAAGCATCTCACTGATGCGTACTTTAAGAAGAAGAGGCTGCGTAAGCCCAAGCATCAGGAAGGCGAGATCTTTGACACTGAAAAAGAAGTAAGGAACATGATTGTTCATTCTTTCTATATGCCCTTGTTACTTAAATCCAGGCTGGAAGGGGGTAAATACCATGACACAAATGGACAATTGAATTTTAAGTGGTCCTCAATAAAGTGAGGTAACACCATTAAAATGAGTTAATACAGCAGCATTGAGAGAACCCCCTTTTAAATTTGGGGATTCTTTTCTGCTTCTACCTTAGCAGAACAGCAGCAATGATTATTCCAGTTAAAGGTCTTTTTTTCACTGAGAAACACCTTTACTGTTTTCATACTGCCAACAGCGTGCTGCTGGCTCTGATACCTGCAACATAAGCCAAACAGTGGCTTCAGTTCTCTCTGCCACCTCCGGTCTCCTACCACCCTTCCCATATTTAGAACAAATGGAGAAAAGATTTCTTGAAAATGCCAGAACTCAGGGTTTGCCCTGAATTTTCTCATCTCCACAGAAGAGTCTGAAGTCAGTCTGCGGGATTTTAACATTATTCTTTTTACTTTCTAGAAATATGAGATAACAGAGCAACGTAAGTCAGACCAGAAGGCAGTGGATTCACAGATCCTTGCACGAATCAAGAAGGTGCCTCAGCTCCGTGGGTACCTGCGTTCTACATTCTGTCTCTCAAATGGGGTCTATCCTCACAAATTGGTGTTCTAACTGTTCTGAAAGCACCATATTAAATTTGAAGGGAAAAAAGCAAGGATTTCTGGTGTCTTCATTGCAATCCATAGTGGCACGTGTTGCACAAATCTTGCAATGAGTGTTATTTGACTAATAGGAAAACTGCTTGTGGCATGGAATTCTGAGGGGCTATATGTACATAGATGACTAGAATTTTGAGTGTATAAGGTTTTGGGTGTAGGGGTTTTGATTGGTTTGTTTCAGGTTTGTGGTTGTTGGGTTTTTTTTAACTAGTATAAACAGGAATTCAGCTTTCTTAACTATGAATGAGTTGGAGGGCGTGGGGACACCAAACAAAAAACAACAGGTTGTCTTTTGGGAATAGTGGATATAAATACTGGATTGACTACCCATCAGGACATGCTGCAGAATAAAATCCAGCCCAATGTCTGTGCTGACATATTTCTCTGCACCCTTACTGTGCTGAAAGCAGTGCTTATGGTATCTTTTGTGAAGAGCCAGGTCCTAGCAACAAACCACTGCTACATAACTCATTAGCATTT